CCAGGATTTCACATGACAGCATCTTCCCCGGAAAGTCACAGCAGGGAGTGGAAGATTGATGCACTGTGCATGTGGGTGTTAGGATGGAGCAGAGTGGGATGGGGAGATGGAGGGGTGAGGAGGTGTAACCGCAGAGTAAACCAGAACAATCCTCTTGGAAGAGCCTTAAATTTCTGATCCCAGGGCTGCCATCTCCTGCCTTTTGCTCTTTATTTAAAAGAATGTCAGTCCTTCTTAAGTCCAGCAGAGAAGAAGGGAGCCAAGCAGAATCATCTCTTCCTTCCCTGAACACATCTCAGGAGACCAAAAGAGGCAAACAGAACGTGAACTAACTAGATCAACCCAGAAAGTGTGTGCAGATTTGTTCACTGGGGAGGGCCCTCCCCAGCCACTGGGTTCCTCCCTGGAGAGACATAAACGACCGTTAATGACATCTCCATCTGAGAAATTATCAGAGTGCATGTCATTACAAACCAGTGTTTCCCCAGGGCCCTGGCAGAAAATGACCCCAATGAGCTTCAGTTCTTGAACACACAGCTGCTACCTTGTGAATGCAAAGCATCCCTCACCACAGATCTCAAAGCTCTCAGGGTTATGCTTCACTGAACCCCTCTGACAAACCAAGACTGCCATTCCTGCTCTGCACCAAGTGGAGCTGAGGCCTTAAGAGGAAGAGTAAGGGAAGCCCACATGCTCCTGGCACGACTCTTCAGGGCAGGGAGTTGGAACGAGACCCCCCCATTGCACCTCTGAGAGGTTTAAATCTACCTTTGTGCTACTTGGGTCTGTCTGCCCCTCTCATCTTCATCTAGATGCTGTGACTACAGCAACCTCTCAGGTTTGTCTGCAAGGTGTCACAGCACATACCTGGCTGTGCCTCATGGTGGGTGCTCGGGAGACAGACCCTTGAAACTGTCATCTGTATTTTGGAACCAGTGAATCCTGATGTATCTGGATCCCTTTAACAGCCCTGGCTGTCCTACCCAAGCAGGGCCAAAGGTCTCAAATTGCCCAGCGAGACTGAAGCTGAGTCATTCCAGAGTGCCCTTGCCCAACAATAAGGAAGAATTCCTGGTGTAAAGCTGTTCCCTTCCTTTCCCGATTTCGTCGTGTCTGTGGCTATTTCAGAAAGCAGCAACATGAGCTGGATTTTCTCTTAACTCCATCTGCTCTGCGATGCAGCCTGTGACAAATGAACCCAGGCCCATGCCTGCCTGGGTAAAGAGGGAGAAGCCCCGAGGAGACCCACATACTTCTAGAGAAAAGAGTCTGTTCCAGGGAGAGGTTCACACCTCAGTGCCAGAATGACCTGGAGGTTTCAGGCAGACTGAATCTTTGTGTGTCCTGAAATAGCTGTTTCAACATCCCCCTGTGTCCTGCGGGCCAGTGATGAGAGCAACAGGCAGTTATTTACCACACCTGTGATATCTGGGTAACCAGGAAAGGGGGAGCAGGCAAAGGAGACGTGGTAGGAGCCGGAGTTTCTGTTTTATCAGCTTCAAACCAAAGCCAGCACGCCTGCCTGCCAGCACCCCAAAGTAGCAATATTCCTGGCCATGGCACACCCCAGTCCCACTATGCAAATACTCCCAGTCTGAGAGCTAAATTTTGCAATCCCTTCCCAGCAGCCAGCCTCTGCTTTCACTCTCTGAATTACGAAGGGGAGTTTTCATCACATCACCAGAGGCTCTTCTTCCCTGAAGCCAGGGACAGAGCTGTCACTCTGCTTCGCAGGGAGTTTTGGGGGTGTGGGTGGCCAAGATATTTCTCTGGAAAGTGGCCCTGTGCCTCCCAAAACCAGGCTCAGCCCAGCCTCCCCAGCTGCTCCATCCAGCCTGGGAACACGACCGGACAGTGTGGGCTGACTCCAACGGGTGCCTGGACAAAGCCTGTCCCACACTGCTGCTGGAAGCTTTCCTGGGACATACAGCATTTTCAGGCACCTTTAAAAGTCGGCTGTGCCAAATCCTGCACTGATTTAAGCAGCACGGTCAGAAGTCAGCAGTCTTCCAGCTTTCTGCCAGCGTAAGCAAAAGCAAATTTGCCTATCAGAGCTGGAATTTGCAGAGTGGTTCACTGAAGCATTTGAATTCCTCCCCCCCTTTCTTTTTTTTTTTTTTTTTCTTTTTTGTTTGGCTTTTGTTTATCTTTTCAAATATCACTGAGTTAAACGGTCAGACTGGTGACGGTGTCCCTGCAGCTCCAGGGAGGGACTGCTCTGATCTCCCTCCCATTCCACTGACTTTCCAATCAGCCTCTTTCCTCCCCTCCCTGGCAGCCTGTTTCCATGCGCTCTTCTTCCCAGCCTCACGTCCTGGCTGTTGCTTTTTTTTCCCAGTTTGAATCAAAACAAACTACTGGATTCAAACTGCTCCCTAGTCAGGAACACGCTGAGCAAGAGCCTCTGCTCCTGGCAAGGGCTACGGTAACTCGCCACGGAGAGACACCTTGGCCATGGAGAACTTGTTTTCAAGTAGATGGTATGTCTGGAGGGTCAGGACAGTTAGAAGTCTATCTCTGAGCTCCACAAAAGCACTGAATTCCCTTAAACATATAAAGACTGGCAAGAGGTCTGCGCAGCTCAGGAGCAGGGAAGATGGCTCTGAAGTCAGCATGAGAGCCTTGGATTTACCCTGGCCTCCCCCAGTCCTGTTTGTATCATGATTCCTCATATAAGGGAATGAAGAGTCATTTCTGCCCCATCAGCACGTTGAGAGCTGATGCCTTTCCCAGGGACTCCAGATGGTTTTGCTCTCTGTCTCTCTGTTTGTGTCTGCACTACTGGTAATTCAGGCCTGTCTCACATTAGCTTTTGAGATGAAACCTTCCCACAATTAGTTACAGTCTGTGCTCTTGCGTTGAAAAGGACGTAGGGCTGAGCTGTCAGAGCGCTGTCTGGGAGATCCGTCCCACACACAAGTCCTGTTCAGGTTTCTCTATTTCAGTCAGGAGTGTGATTTTTCTAGTGAAATCATCAAACCGAGACAGCCTCTGCTACAGATTGGTAGCGACAGCCATTTAAAGATGCCTCGTACCTGGCTCGTTTCAGACAGGAATAGCTAAATTCAATATAATCTTGTTTTATACCAGTACAACATCTCTCCTTTCTTTCTCTGGCCTTCCTTTCCTGCCAGTGAGATGGGGAGAGGATCCTTTCACTCCAGGAGCTCCACATCACAAATGTCAGAGAAATGTTAAGCATCTTCATGCCTGCCCACAGCCTGCCAGGGACCAGAGCTCAGCAACTCACACTGCTCAGAGACAACGCGCTCCACAGACACCCTTGTAGCAGAACTTTTTGGCTCCCTTGATAAATTTGTTCGCTAATAACAGAGTTCTTGATCCCAGGAGGGAATTTAACACTCTGAGGCCAATTCTAAGTTTGGCTCAGAACTTCCAGCTGGGCCAAAGCCATATGTTTTGTGGCAGGAATGCTGGAGTGCAGCAGAGGTGAGGGAGAGCTGACAAATGTCTGGGGAACATAAGCTCTAGGGAAGGACTTGGGTGCAGCGGGCATCTTGGGATAAGCACTAAGTGAGGGTGTATGGCAGGCACAGAATTAATGAAGAAAAACACAGGGAAGGTAACAGGAGAGCTGAAGGGTATTAGGAGAGGAGAAAGCTTCATTTGTGTGCTCTTACTCCCTCTGCCCCTTCATTCATCCATCCATCTATCAAATGGGAAAGTGTCATCATTATCCCTGCTGTACAGACAGGCACGGGCTCTTTGCCTACAGCAAGTCAGGCAGCGTGAGCACAGAAACCCAGGCGCTTTCGACTGTCAGCGTGGGTTCGGTTCGCTAAACCTTGTTCTCTACCCCAGAGGCACTGAACGGGGCCCTCCACAGCTGGGAAGGAGCCTGGTAATAACTATGCAAATAGGCTTTGCTGAGAGAAATTATTTCAGGAATGGCAATAGCTGGGAGACAGCGACGAAGCCACACTTGTCCTGTCACATGAATAACTACAGTCTGTCCAGTCAGAAGCTGACAGTCTGCAGGGAAAGCAGACCTTTCTGTGCCAATTTAACACGCACTTCATAGACACCACAGATATTTCTGCTTCGCCTCCCCTGCATAATAAGAGGCAGTGTCCTTCCCGTTAGCTTATCTGCCTTTGAACTGGAGATGAGGTTGGCAGACCCCTGTGGGCATGGGGGAACCCTGGAAAGAAATAGAGGCTTTTAAATTTTTGCATGACTGCAATAAGAATGGGGGTTGTAGTTTCAGTGTATGAAAGAAGCTAAACCCTGCACTGGGGGAAGTTTCTGGGAGAGTAGATCTCCACACGACTCTTTGTAAGTATTATAAAGGAGGGCTCGGCAGCCAGGGAGAAGATGCTCCAGCTGGGTGAATAAATTCAGAGCAGTTTCCTGCTGTTATTGACCCCCCTCTCCAACAAGAGACACGTTAAAAACCAAACCGCTGCCCAGGAACTACTGTCCACTCACCCTCAGGAGAGTGCCAGGCTCCTTCCCGACGCCACCATCAGCGCCAGGCCTGGGACGGGGGGGAAGCCTCTGACTGGGGAAAGGCAGCAGGCCACGGTGGCCCTACTCGGGGTGGGCAGCGATGCTCCGGAGAAGCCCTGCGGCCCTGCCAAGGCCGAGGGCGAGACGCTGAGGGGAGCCGGAGCTGCTGAGGGGTGGTGGTGGGCCAAGGCGGGCGAGACGCTGAGGGGAGCCGGAGCTGCTGAGGGGTGGTGGTGGGCCGAGGCGCTGAGGGAAGGCAGGCCGCAGGGACGGGGGAGCAGCACTACCGCGCAGCGCCACGCCGCTGAGGTACTTCAGAGCCACTTGAGCTGCCGCGCGGCGAGGACGGGGATGGGGATGGCGACGGGGACTGACCCCGCCGTAACGAGAACCAGGCGGGGGGGGTTCGGGCCTGCCCGGCGGCGCTGCCCTTAACCAAAATGGCGGCGCCGGCGGGCGGAGCGCCTGCGCAGTGGGCGGGGCGGGCGCGGCGCCGAGCTCACTCGGCTCCGCCGCCGCCGTCGTTGCAGCGGCTGGTGGGACGCGGCGATCGGATCCTCGTCGCTTTCGGGACCGACCCCTCGCCCTCCGCCTCGAGTGGACCACCGTCGATCGGCAGCCACCGCCCCGGTAGCCATGGGCTCGGAGCGGGACTCCGAGTCGCCGCGCTCCTCGTCCATCCACTCGGCAGCCGCCAAGTGCCCCAAGCCCGGCCGCCGCCGCCGCCTCTCCTTCCAGAGCGTCTTCTCCGCCGCCGCCGCCTCCGCCGCGGGCGGCCGCCGCCGCGCCAAGGCCGAGCCGCCGCCGCCTCCCGCCGCCCCGCCGGCCCCGCCGCCCCCGCCGCCGCCGCCGCCGCCTCCGCCGCCCCCGGAGGAAGCGCCGGTGGTCCCGGAGGGGAGCGGCGAAGAGGAGCTGGAGTGCCCGCTGTGCCTGGTGCGGCAGCCGGCGGAAAACGCCCCGCGGCTGCTGTCGTGCCCGCACCGGTCGTGCGGGGCCTGCCTGCGGCAGTACCTGCGCATCGAGATCACCGAGTCCCGCGTCAACATCTGCTGCCCCGAGTGCAGCGAGCGCCTCAACCCCGCCGACATCCGCCGCCTCCTCCGCGACTCCCCGCACCTCGTCGCCAAGTACGAGGAGTTCATGCTGCGCCGCTGCCTCGCCGCCGACCCCGACTGCCGCTGGTGCCCGGCCCCCGACTGCGGGTGAGTAACGGGGGACGGGATATACACACACGGTGGCCCGGTGGGGTGCTGCCCGCCCCGTCTTGGGACAGCTTGGGGTGGGGGGGGGACCTGCTGTCTCCATAGGGTGCTGCCCCGTCTGTGCATCCCGGGGTGGCTCGGGGAAGGGAGACCCCCGCCTTGATGGGGTGCTGCCTGTCCCCGGCATGTCCTGGGACAGCTTAGGGAGGGGGGGACCCACTGTCCCCGTAGGGTGCTGCCCCCTCTCTCCATCCTGGGGTGGCCAGTGGAAGGGAGACCCCTACCCTGATGGGGTGCTGCCTGTCCCCAGCTTGTCCTGGGACAGCTTGGGAGGGGAGGACCCGCTGTCCCCGTAGGGTGCTGCCCCCTCCCTCCATCCTGGGGTGGCCAGTGGAAGGGAGACCCCCACCCTGATGGGGTGCTGCCTGTCCCCAGCTTGTCCTGGGACAGCTTGGGAGGGGAGGACCTGCTGTCCCCGTAGGGTGCTGCCCCCTCCCTCCATCCTGGGGTGGCCAGTGGAAGGGAGACCCCCACCCTGATGGGGTGCTGCCTGTCCCCAGCTTGTCCTGGGACAGCTGAGGGAGGGGGGGACCTGCTGTTCCCATAGGGTGCTGCCTCATCTGTACATCCCAGGGTGGCTTGGGGAAGGGAGGCCCTGCCCTGATGGGGTGCTGCCTGTCCCCAGCACATCCTGGAAGAGCTGAGTGAGGTGGGACCCACTGTCCCCATAGGGTGACTCCCCTACTAGGTCCAGGGACAGCTGGGGATGACATCCCAGCTGGGATGGCCCCGGACCCACTGTCTCAGTGGGATGCTCCTCATCCCCAGCAGGTCCTGGGGTTGGTATCACACCTGCTGTCCTGCTGGGGTGCTGTCTGTCCCTACCTGGGTTCCAGGACAGCAGAGGGAGGGGCAGCTAACCCCCAGTGGTGTGCTGCTTCTGATTCACACTTCAGGCTCTGCTAAGACCCACAAAGAGCCCTCACTGCAGATGTGTTTCACTTGCTTGTCAGTAGTCCCTTCAGGACAGTTGATGGGCCTTGGGTACCAAAATGATGCTCCGTCTATCCCTGCTACCTCACTAGAGCACTGGGATTTGACCTTGGGGATTGTGGAAATAGAGACAAATCAAGTATGAGTGATAGGACTTGAAGGGGGTTTTAGCTGAGCCATTGTTTCCCTAATTTAAAAGAAAGCTTATGTTCTGCACAAATGGGAAGCATGGAGTTTCCTGGCCACATGTATTTCTGCGAGCCATGGGGACAGTGCATGAAGACACCCCGTAGCTTCCACAGTGGGGAAGAAGGAACCATAAACGGTCGCTTTTTCCCGGAGAGGATGTGGATGCATGGCACAAAAGAGTAATGTTGACTCATTATCCATTGCCTAAGTGAGGAAATATCTGTCTGTCCAGAAGTCAGCCCAGCCAAGCTTGATGACTTTATAGTAATCTGCGTGTTGCTTTCATTTTCTCTTCTCTTTTCCTTCAAATGAACTCTGTTAGGTTTCGATTTGAGCATAAGCCAAAGCTGCCTGGAAGAGGGCTTTGTTCGGGAAACTTAGAGAAGTGCTGCGAAGTTTAGCTACAACTCAGCTCGGATTGCAATTCTGGGTAGCAAGAACATGAAAGGAAAGTCTGACCTAGTAGACAGAATGGAAAGCGTGGTAGGAGGGTTGTGAAGATTTAATCAGAGCATTGTAATAGCCTTCCTATGCAAATCGGCTAACCTGGCTCAGGTTACCCATTTCATGGCCTCTGAGCATCGCTGTATAAGGGCTTGTTTCTTCAGAGGGCAACGTTAATAGCAAACAACAGCTTTACTCCTTTCTGAAGTAAAATCAAGTGCTAGATCTTGATATTTCAATAGTACTGGGCATAAGATCAAGGAGATAGAGCAGGTTATGCTGCCCACAGGGCAGTACCAGAGGGAATGTCCCTGCTGTTAACCAGCTAGAGAAAATGTAGTTCCTGCTTACCAAATCTCAGCTCTTTGGCTGCTGTGATATTTATCTGTGCTCAGGATAAGGTGTAAATGCAACATACGTCGCCCAGGCTGTCTGGTTGGAAGGAGCCGGCCCCAGCACAGCCCGGAGGGCGTTGCCTCTTTGACAGTAACCCAGCCTGAGTCTGATCCCACTGTTGCTTTGGGCAGACTGGTGTCACACACAGCTCTTTGTGCAAGCAGAAGCCTCCTCCCCGGTTAGCCAGTTAGCAGGGTGAGCCAGGCACCGTGCGCGGGTGTCCTCCTCTGAGCTGCCCAGCAGAAGCAAGAGGCAACGCTGGGGCTGTTGGAGACCAGGCAGCTCTCACAGACTGTGCTGCTGGTGTGTCTGTAGCCCTCGAACAAAGGCTGTTGGAATCAGCCCTCTGGCAGGGAGAGGAATTAATCACCCTATTCATTCTTCCCAGTGAGCTTGTGTCGCTGTGCTTATGTAAAGCCAGGGTATGAATTATTTACAGCAGGCTTTCCCACCGTAGTAGTGCCGGTGTAGCGAGCTGGGGGCACAGCGATGCTCGGCACTGGGTGTCACCCACCGCAGAGGTGACGGCAGCGAGGGGCTGCTGGGCGATGGCAGACAAAACCCTGGGCGTGTGGCACGCAGCATCCTGTGCTTTCCACGCTTACCGCAGCCTTTTGTAAATGAAAGAGCCTGGCTGCGCTGCCGGGGAGGAGGAGGAGGAGGAGGACCAACACAACACCGTGCGTGTTGCCATGGAAACACTGGTCAATTGATGCGCCATCAATCGCAGTACAAATCATTTTCTATGTTTGCAGCTTCTTTCCCCCTTCCCCTCCCTTGCTACGATCAGGTGGCATCGCTGTCTAGTGTTTGTCACACTGCATCTCTCCTAGAAGCTTGGGAGAAAAACAGAACCTTTAAAGAAACGGAGCTGTGTAGGCTGAGCTCAGTGAATGAGGCTGGAGGCAACTGGTGAGGCGCTGACTCCCGTGGAGCCGCGGGAGGAGGAATGGAGGGAACCTGCAGCCATCCAAGGAGTGGGCTGGATGCGGAGCCATGCGATTCCTGGGGTCTCAGGAAGATACTTGCTGTTGTTGCTGCATGGGGAAAAGTTAGAGTTTCCTTTTTTTGTCTGCTGGGGTTAAGCCTGGAAGTGGCTGTTTAACGCAGCGATGTGTCTGAGGTCGGGTGAAGAGGGGACATGTGTTGGCCGTCTGGATCCTGCCGTGGCTAATCCTAGGCACATCGCTTCAACATTCTTTTTCTAGTTGACTTTGAATTCAGAGATGTGTTATTTCTTCCCCTAATAGACAGCCATGTAGGTTTTTTTTTCCCCACAGCTGTGAGCTTGTTCGTGATATATGTCATTTCAGCTCTAGGAATAAAATATCAATGGTGATAATTTTAATTTCTCACAGGATTTGCTTCAGTGTCTTAAAAAACCCTACGCATCTAGTGAGGGGTTAATTTGGAGCATTGGGTTGCTTAATGTATTACACTGAGCTTCCCTAGCCAGCTGTTAAGATTTGAAATAGCAGTGTGTTGTAACACAGCTGGTCAGATTAAGCTCTCTCTTTTTCTATTTTTTTTTTTTTTTTTTTTTTTTTTTTTTTTTTGCCAGGGGTAGGTTTTTGGCTGTGTGATAATGGCAGGGTAAGGATGCTTAGTGAGATCTTCCCTACACAAGATGTATAGGAGTCAATGTGGGTCAGGTTTGTCCCTCCCAAACCCCCAGGCCATCTGTATCCTGTCTCTCCTCGAATATTGGCTTCACGTACAGGAGTGTGCAGCCGTTGATGCACGTGGAGACCCTGTAGTCGTGCCTCCCGGCCCTGCGCTCAGCACAGAGATGTTGTTGCTTTGGCGATTATGTCGTACGCTGTCAGGATGAAGTTGCTCAAACTCCCACGGGATATGAATCATTGTGGTATGACACATTCAGCGGTTCTCACGCTGCTGCCTCTGAGAAGAGGCAATACAACTTGAGCTACACAAGCTCTAAATATAAAACCTTAAATAGGAATTATTCTCCTCTGACCACTAACAAAAATACTGAGGATGAACAACAAAAATACCCTTTGCCATACTGGTGTTGCAGAACTGGAAGGTGCTTTTGGAATTGCTGAGTTCAGCCCCTGCCAGTGGAAACCACCTCATCCTAGATGACTGTAAGTCAGCTTTCCTATAGCAGTGCTTGGTGGTGCTGCTTAGACTCCCGTGTACACAGCACACTTCCTTCTGGAAGTGTCACACTTCTATCAGAAAAGTGAGCTGGTTGAACATGGCCTCCCTCTCTTGCACATTCGATTGGTTTTACTTCTGTTTTGGCTTATTCCAGAGGCAGAGCTTTGTTCTTCAATGCTCTTTGAAAAAGGAAATTCTGTGGAGATCAACAAGATCTTGATGTCCACATGCAACTATCTTGACAGAGCTGCTTGCTAAAACCCCTGTTGTTCCACTTATTTTAGAATCATTCAGTTGATAGAAGTGCCCAGGACATCCTCAGCTTTCCTAGACTCCTCCAGGCCATATAGCATCCACCCATGTGCCTGTCCTAAGGAACCAGAGTAGGTGTCTTTAGCCACAGGTTGCCTGGAAGGAGCAGTGTGAGCCTGACCTAAGAGCCTGCTAAATCAGCAGAAACAGCAAGCTGTTGGCAGGGCATAACTGGGCACGACAAATCTGGTCTGTGTGAATTGACAGTGAGAACTGCCAGCAGTTATTGAGGAGAGAATTCGCTATCGTAAGCTGTCTGTATAAAAGGTATCTGTCCCAAGTAACCCAATTAGCACTGCTTAATTCCAGGCCCTGCAGTGCAAGCCACAGGACTGGAGAGCGCAGGAATTTGTCTAGCGTGCAGGCGTGCTGTATGGATAGTGATCAGAAATAAGAGGAAATAAATGAGATGGGAGAGGTGGGCTGACCGATGGCACTGGCTGAGCTGCCCCGCAGGGTGACGTTGCTGCAGGCTCCGAGGGTAAAAGCACACGTCGCTCGGCGTAGCCTGTGAGCTCACTGCAGCAGCTCTTCCCCCGGCTCAGACAGCAGCAGCCTCCCGTGCCGCCCCTGCGCAGGCTGAATTAAAAGGATCGCTGGACTGTCTCCTGATAACTTTGTCTTTTACCAACTCACCCGGTGTCTTCCTTCTCCAGCTACGCGGTTATTGCCTACGGCTGTGCCAGCTGCCCCAAGCTGACCTGCGAGAGGGACGGCTGCCAGACGGAGTTCTGCTATCACTGCAAACAGATATGGCATCCCAACCAAACCTGCGACATGGCCCGCCAGCAAAGGGCACAGACGCTCCGAGTACGGACCAAGCACACATCAGGCCTCAGTTACGGACAAGAATCCGGGCCGGGTATGGAGTCACGCGTTTTTTTGGTTGGTTAGTACTGCAGTTATGCCTGTGAAGCTGAGAAAAAGAGCCACCTGCGTGCAAAATCCCCTCCCGTCAAAACAGGGGGGTGTTAGTGCCCTGCGGGGAACGCTTCTGCACAGCACAGCTGAGGGTCTCCAGCAGCCACGGGTGAAAACAGCTGAGAAACTCAGAGTCATTTCCCCTTCTCCTGTGCATTAGAACAAAGCTGGTGGGTTCCTCCAAGAGCACAAGACAGATCAGTAGGTGACGATGTGTTTTGCGTCTTTCCGTGTCACGGCAGCTCCCCTCATCCACCCCAGATAGGCTTGTGGCTGTTTTGATCTTGAATGTTCTCGCTTCTTGCTGATCTAAACCCTGAACTTTTTAGCCTTGCAACTTCAAATTTGCCTGCTGCAGTACTAGAGGGTAGCATTCATGCCTAGCTGGGAGCAGAGAGCCTCACTCCGTGCACTGTTAGGTGTTAGTAATGTCAGGTACAGAAAAAATGCCAACCCACAGACTCCTACACTACCTGGTAGGAGCTGCTGTGTCTGCTGAGTTAGTGTTCGTTAAAAATATGTGTATCGACTCTGGAAGTGGGCAGTAAGGCCATTTCATAAAATCCCGTCCTACCCCCAAACAAAACGCCTTGCTTTTCCTTCTATGTCAGGAGTTTAAATGTTAATACACTTACTTAGAACGGAGCTGTCGTGGGTGGTTCAGAAGTGGCTTAGTGTCATGTCATGGTTCAACATGCCCCAGTTAGAGGGCCCTGATAATGGACAGCATAGACACTGCCGCAGCCTGTGGTACAAACCAGCAAGCAAAAACTAGTTCCTGAGTTTTTTCATCCTTTTAAAGGAGATCCCTGCCAGGAAGAGCTTAGCACTAAGCCACTGAAAGGGAGGTTCTTGAGACAGTGGTTTTTCCCCACCCTGTTCTTGCTGGATTCAATATAGTGATTAATAAGGTGCGAGCTGGTCTCAGCAGCTGGTTTTCATATTGTGGAGTGTTGCAGAGGCTGCCAGCAAAGCCCTGAACCACCGTGCAGCCATTGCATAACTGCGATCAGATGACGCTTGAATTAAAGAAGGGATGAAGGACCCTTATCCTGCTCTGCCAGCCGCAGACTGGGGACGGGACAGCCTCTGCACCAGACTCACGTGTGCGGCTGCAGACCCTGTTCCCCTTCTGGCTGCTTTTGAAGGTCAGGTTCGGAGTTTCTCCAATACCCTGTTCTCCCGATTGTTCTGTCGTTCTTGGCCCATGAATCACCTCAGTGGAGCAATTTAGTAATGGCTCGTTCTTATGCTGTTGCCTTGGCTAGCACAGGGCAGGTATGACTTGTTCCCAGCATTTAAACATGTTCTGGAATGCATCCCGTTCAAGGCTGGAATAAGGTTTTAAAGTGAATGTTCTCAGTCCCTGCTGTCCAGGCAAATGGCTTTGGTGGGGTCTGTCTCATCAATATTATCTTCTCACTCTGAAGATAAACTAAAGCCACAACCATTCTCGCTTTATCTGTGATTAGTAAGAGTGTTCTGCTTGCACGGAAAACAAAGGTTTCAATCCATAACGAGATCCCCCCTCGTTGATTCTTCATACAGCAGAGAGTCCAACTCTATCTCATGCTTCCTCCCCGTAGCTGATGACATCAAGCCGTGTCCGCGATGCAGCGCTTACATCATCAAGATGAACGACGGGAGCTGTAACCACATGACGTGCGCGGTGTGTGGCTGCGAGTTCTGCTGGCTGTGTATGAAGGAGATCTCGGATCTGCATTACCTCAGGTGAGGAGGGGAGTAGCACACGCTTCCCTGAAGCTGGTCGGAGGAGCCCAGTTCATGCTTGCCTTTCGTCCTCCTGCCTCTCCAATCAGCCAGTAAAATTTTCTCCTTTCTGACACACCGATCTGAACTTTCTCCCCACGCTGTAGTAGGAGGATGCTCTTCCACACCAAGAAAACCTCCTCCTGATACGATTGCATTTGAGAGCTCTTAGCACACTGGATATTAAACATAGTCCCAGTAGTGTCATAATCACCCTGATGAGCAAATGAATCTTGATGGGGGGAAAAAGAGAGAAACCTTTTTGGTGTTGTCTGTCTGCTTCCAAAGTTTTGGGGTTTGTTCATGTGGAAGTTGAACTTGGGGTTCTTGGGAACACTTGGGAATTGCTGTGGTGTTAATGTAATTTTTTTTTCCCTTCCATTAAGTCCCTCTGGCTGTACCTTCTGGGGCAAAAAGCCATGGAGTCGTAAAAAGAAGATTCTCTGGCAGCTGGGCACATTGATCGGCGCTCCTGTAGGCATTTCCCTTATTGCTGGCATTGCCATTCCTGCTATGGTCATTGGCATCCCTGTGTATGTCGGGAGGAAGGTAAGTGTGGAGAGTACAAGGTTGGAGCTGAGGGATCTGGGGCTTTTGGGGCGTTCTCTGTACTCAAGGCATCTGACCAGAAATGTAAAGCTGATATGAAGGGTGGATCTTTTCATAGAACCAAAATTCAGTTGTCTCTTAAACCTTGTCTTATCTTTTGGGCTTTGTGTGGGGAGAGGGAAGGTGGTGGCTGATAGCTCTTCAGGCTGAAATCCTCTCAAAGGCATTTTGCATTGCCCTTGTGCCTCTGCCTTGAACCAGGAGCACCCAAGGAGGAAACATGGTCCCTTTTTAACAAATCCTGTGATGATGGACTCTATGGGTCAGAGGCTGAACCCTGATCATCACACTTTGGCTTGCATAAGTCACTCGTGTGTTTCAGTGCTGACCTGCTGCCCAAAACTGTTGTGTGTCTGTGATGATAAAGAGGTGTTGAGAGGGAAGAAATGATGTCAGCACTGTATTTGTAGCTGCTTCTTAAACACAAATCCACCTGCTAGGTCTGATCTGTGAGGAGATTGGTGGTCAAGATTAAATTCTTTAAGGGCTAATGCAGCTGACAAGGCTGTAAAATCACAAGCTTATTAATGTCTTCTGCTGGTGTTTGCTCATGGCCAGGATCTGTTCTCACCTGATGCTTCTCCTTCCATCAGATCCACAGCAGGTATGAGGGAAAGAAGACTTCTAAGCACAAGAGGAACTTGGCCATTACTGGTGGGGTCACCTTGTCTGTCATTGCCTCTCCCGTCATCGCTGCTGTCAGTGTTGGTAAGTGGGTACAGTCCCTTCCCCTTCTGGTGGGCCAGTAGTCACTGAGACAAGTGGGTAGCCCAGCCCTGTGAGATGGGCTGGCCAAAGGGGAGTTTTCAGACTGCTGCTGTTTGCTTTTCTGGACACATCCCCCAGTTTCACGTCCAGGCTGCGCGTCCTCGTATGCTTGAGTTGTCCTGGAGCCAGCACAGGCCTTGTCCAGAGCACCAGTTGCCTGTGCCACAGCCCATAGTGGGGTCCCTTGGCACCTGGAGCTGTCTCTTATCTATGGGCTGATTTGGTGGCTGATGTCTTGGGGGGTTCAGCTGAGGCTGTCTGTGCTCTTGGGGTGTCTTCATTCTGCTCTGCAGCAGCACAAACAAACGGCTCCTTCTCTGTCTATCTGCAAAGTTATAAACTAGGACCTTTAAAAGCAGTGTAAACACAACTGAAAGAGTCCCTACCCTAAAGAGTCATTTCTGTCTGCCCAACACAGCTCAGCCTCAAGCTCCTCTTAACTCAGCACATCCTACTCCCCAGGTATCGGAGTCCCCATCATGCTGGCTTACGTCTATGGTGTTGTGCCGATCTCGCTGTGCCGAGGCGGTGGCTGTGGAGTTAGCACCGCCAATGGAAAGGGTGTGAAAATCGAATTTGATGAAGATGATGGACCAATCACAGGTAACGTGATAACTAGTGAAGGGAAGGGGGTGAAGCAAGACCCTGTTGTTGCTTCTTCTAGTGAAATGGTGTGGGGGGGTCTTAGCATTTCCCAAATCTGAACATCTGTCTTTACCTGGGTTTGGCTAGAAGCGGTTGTTTGCTTCGGTGATGAGCTGTGTGGCTCTCAAAGCCAAATCTCAGCTCTTCCTTGCCCCTGATGAGGCAGGAAGGCAGTCTGAGACGAGGCACATGCTGCCTGCTGTCTGTCCCCCAGCTCTGCCAGCGCCATCGCAGCCCAACGGTTCCCTTGCTGATTCCGACTCCTGTGCTCTTCTTCCCCGCAGTGGCCGATGCTTGGCGAGCCCTGAAGAACCCCAGCATTGGCGAAAGCAGCATTGAGGGGCTGACCAGTGTGCTGAGCACCAGTGGCAGCCCCACCGATGGGCTCAGTGTGATGCAGGGCAACTACAGCGAGACGGCCAGCTTCGCTGCTCTCTCGGGCGGCACCCTGAGTGGTGGTGTCCTCTCGGGAGGCAAGGGGAAGTACAGCAGGTAACTGAACTCATGGGCACAGCCAGAAAAGGGTAGAGGCTCCCAAAGCCTGTGTTGGTTGAGCAGGCTTATTTTGGGGAGCTCTCCAGGACTGTGTGTGCTTCTACTTTGATTTGGGAGTTGTGTGCTCGTATTTTTGCATCTTAATCTGTTGTAGAATAACTTGTCCTGGCAGACCAGGCTACTTCTGGAGTCAGTGCTAGGCTGGTTCTTACAAAGAGGACAAAAGAGAAGTTTCTGTCCCTACTAAGCTCCTTGAAACTGCAGAGCTGATGCTTCCAGTTAACTGAGAACAGCACAGTGATGCCTGCGTGCCCTGCTTAAAGATCTTCCAGTCCTCTGATCTCAGCTTAGAGGCTTTGATGTTTCCTGTTCTCCAGTGGCCTATAGAAAGCGGGGTCACTGCTTTCCAAGTCAGGAGGTTACACCACAGTTTTTCTCTCAACTCTCAAACTGCCCGTGAGTCAGTTTGCTGGGTAGTTAGAGACACGTGTTGATATGGCAGCCCGGATATAATCACAGCTGCGTGCTAGATCTGTGGAAATCAGTTCTTCACAGGAATTGTGTGAGTCATAGATATAAACACAACTTTACCTTTGCCATGGAAAACAGAATGGGTTTACCTAAATGGAGCCACAAAGGAGACTAAATGAGAGGAACTGTTGGGGTTAAAATTGTCATGCTGAGCTGTGCCAGCACAGAGGCCCTCTTGCTTCCCCATGATGAACAGTGACTGTTTGGTGCCCCTCAGGGATCATCTAAGGCATTTCTGAGGAATCCTATTCTTTCTTGCAGGCTGGAAGTTCAGGCAGATGTCCAGAAGGAGATTTTCCCTAAAGACTCGGTCAGCTTGGGGGCTATCAGTGACAACGCCAGCACTCGAGCCATGGCTGGTTCCATCATCAGCTCCTACAACCCCCAGGACAGGTAGGAGGACGTGTGATGGTGAGAAGAGAGTTGGTAGTGGGTGTCCTGGAAAAAATCTGTGCTCTGCAAGGTGCTGCTGTGGGTGGCAAGATGACTGTAGTTGCACCAGCCCGCTCTTCTGCAGCTGGCAAGTGGATTGATTGATCCTTTTACTTGCACAGAAGGACAACCGGGGACAATTTGGGAGCAGCTTTCACATGCAGTGTGGAGGCTGAGGAGGGGATCTGCAGCCCAGAACTCTCAAGATCTGTTCCTGGCTGCTTGCGGGGACTCTGGTTCTTTCCCAGTTCAGTTTCTAGCTCAGCCTGGGGATGATTTTGGCTGCCTTTAAGAGGACCCAAGGAGATCAGTGCGTGCTGTTGTTTCCCTGATGCTGTGGGGTGATGAGCAGCATCTTGCTTCTGTTTGGGAAATGTGATCCTCCCAGTACAGTGATGCAGTGCCCAGTGGTGACCCAGTCACTACCCAGTAACACAAGAGTGCTTGTTTCTGCAGGGAGTGCAATAACATGGAGATCCAGGTGGACATTGAAGCCAAACCAAGTCACTACCAGCTGGCCAGCGGCAGCAGTACAGAGGACTCTCTGCACGTCCACACCCAAATGGCAGAGAATGAAGAGGAGGAAGAGGAGGAGGAGGAGGAAGAGGAAGAAGATGGTGAGCAGGAGCAGACGTGCAAACACCAAAGCTGTGAGCAAAAGGACTGCATTGCCAGCAAAACCTGGGACATCACCCTGGCCCAGCCTGAGAGCATACGGAGCGACCTGGAGAGCTCCGACAGTCAGTCGGACGATGTGCCAGACATTACCTCGGATGAGTGTGACTCCCCCCACTCTCAGACTGCAGCAACTTGCCCCCAGACTCCCAAGTCTAGAGGTGCCGAGAGCCCAAGTGCCCACCTGAGCCACTGTGCCCAAGCTGAGGGCTGCAGGCTGGAGGAAATAGTCAAACTGGAGTGCATCGAAGCCAGAGTATGAAGTGGCCTCCTGCTGAAAAGCACACTCGCTGTCGTTGCATCTTTTGGGGCAGGGTTGTGTCCGTGTTGGCTTCTGTTTGCGATTCCCCAGCCTCGCCTCGGGGAGTTGCTGTTTCTTACATGACAAAAAAGAAAAAGGAAAAAAAAAAAAAAAAATCCCCGGCCCTCTTTTTGTTTTAATTTATTGGTTCAAGCTCTGTGAGGTGTGTAAGAGTGTAAATATGTACGTGTGTCTGTATGTCTGCAAACATCCTAAGGGACTATTTGAATAAAGACTGGTTGTCATTCGACTCGCATCCAGCTCATCCTTTCCAAAGATGCACAATGAAATCCTCTGGCTGCCTTTGCCCTTTGCTCAAGCGTTTGTAAACACTGCCCTAGTCCAAGGCATGGGGAAAACAGGGGGCATCTCTTCTGCCTCTAGAAAGTGGGGTGTAACAGCCTTGTTCTGTCTGCAGGGGCGATGGGGATGGTGAATGTGCCACGGGGCTGTGGCGGCCAGACCTGCTTTGTGCAGAAGCTGGGGCAGGGCCAGGTCTCTGTTCCCTGCCCTTGCTGTGCAGCAGGGCTGGGTACAGCTCAAACCAGGGGAAGGATGGGGACTAACGCTGTGCTCAGCCAAATTCCCAGCGCTGCTGTGTGTGAGGGATCTAGGGCCGAGGGCTGGACTGGTGACTCAGGTGGGAAATTACTATTATTCTGGTGAGAGACCAGAAGCCAGCCCTGGACCACAGCCCTTCCCCAGATCAGTCCTAGGAGCCAGGGCTGCTGGAATTAAATTATTGATGCCTGATGTCTCCAATGAGCTTCGCGGGGAGCATTGCTTAGCAAGGATTGCTGTGAGCGAGGGAGGGCTCCCCTGACCCCTCTGCTTTTCCTTTTCTCTGCAGGTTGAGCCCCACTTCCCAATGGTGCTCGTCCCCGAGGGGCTGCCCCTCCCCAGACCCTCTGCCCGTGGCCTTGGACCTGCCTGGCTACATCCCAGCCTGCTGCCATCGCTTTAGGGTGGGACTGACCTGAGCGTGCCGGGGAGGTGGGGATGGATGGGGAAGGGGATGTGGCGCTGTGGCACAGCGTCCTGGCACGGCTTGGCAACGAGGGAAGCACAGGGGTGGGGACAGGACTGTGGTTCCCCTCAGCAGAGGCATGCGAAGGTGGAGTTACCCCTTTGTCCATCCTGGGGAGCTGGTTTGACAGGAATTGGAGCAGCAGTGGGGTGCAGTAGGCGAGCAGCTCTCTGATCCCAGTCCCAGCCTTGCTCTTGCCCGGACATGCAGGGACCCCCACGGGTCTGGCTGCCAAGCTGGGGACATCAAAGAGCTCTGGTGGCCTGACCCCAGCCCGGTGAAGATGTGTCAAGTGGGTGAGTCTGGGTCTGGCATGGTGATTGTGATGGGAGGGTGCCCTAGCCCTGATCATGGCTTCAGCACTGCCCTCCTGCAGGGAAACTGAGGCAGGGAGGGAGGGGAACCGAGGGGCTCAAAGGGGGTCAGGGACAGAGCTAAACTGAGCACCCTGAGTGATGGTGGGCGCCGGAGGAGAGTGACCCTGGGGGGGGTCCCACTGGGGGAACAGCCTGGCTGCTGCTGCGGGCACTCCTCGAAGCGCCTGGTGCCGAAACCCAGAGCTGGAGCTGCCATTTCGGGGCAGCTGCTCTCCCCACAGTTTCCTCGTCACTCCGGGGAACCCCAGTCCTTCCCAGCCCCATCAGGGACACCCATCTCCACAGCTCCTGGCCTCGTGTTGCTGCCCCGGTCCAAGGAGAGCCGGCTGGAGCGGTGGTTTACATACCTGGGCTGCCGGCGGCTGCCACCACGTCACCTCCTTGCTCGTCCCCCCCACCAGCATGAGCCACGTCCTCTGGGGCTGTCCCCAAATGCCCCCCTGCCTGTGCTGAGCATGGTGCAAGGGCAGGAGGGACAGCTCGGTGCAGGCCACCCCACACCTTGCAGCCTCCCCCTCTCCCCTCCGCCTCAGGCCACCTCGACCCCAGCAGCCATCAAAGGGTCCTCATGAAAACGGGCCTCATCCTCCTCATCATCGGGCACCTCAACTTCATCACCGGCGCCCTCGTCCACGGCATCGTCCTCCGCTTTGTGCTCAACCCCCGGGACGCCATGTCCCTGCAGTACGCCGGCGCCAACACCGCTTCCATCATCTCTGCGCTGCTGGTACCAGGGGGTGCAGGGTGGGGGGTGACGGGGGGACACTGGGAGGGTGTGGGGTGCGTCTGGGGTGGACGCAGATGTATGCGGGGTGGGCAGGAGGTGGGATGTGGGATGGACGCTGCTCCATCTCCCCTTTTCCTGCTCTGAATAAGCCTTTCTACCAAAAAAACAGGGGAGGTTAAATGCACAGGGACTTGTTGCTGGGTGGAGGCTTGGGGAGGCAAAGCACTGCCCCCCCCCTGCCCCCCCGCGATGCCGAATTGGCCTGAGGAGCTTTCAGGGACAGTGTCAACAAGGCACGGGGGCCGATGTCCCTGGGGCTGACCTCCCCGCGCTCCCTCGCAGACCATCTCCTGTGGAATAGCTGCCGTCATGCTGTCCCGCTCCCTCGCCCCCGCCGCCCTCGTAAGCACCCTCAGCCCCTCGCCCAGCACCCGGCAGGCTGCAGCCATCCCACGGAGCGTGCACAGCCGCCACGTCCCGTCGCCTGGGGACCGACCCACGGCTGTGCTGCCTCTTCTCTCCCCTCCTGCAGAAATGGGCGGTTTTCACCCTGAGCGCCTGCAGCAGCCTGGGCTGCCTGTCCTGCCTGCTGGGGCTGGCCGTCTCCATCGGGCTGACGCTGGGCAACCACGGCCAGGCACTGCTAGCCCCCTGCACCGTCACCGACATTGCCCTCACCCCCGTATCCCGCGAGTGCCCCTTCGATCCCACCCGTGTCTATGTGAGTCCCCAGTGGGCTGTGGGCTGGGGCAGGGTGAAGCGTGGGGACCTGATGCCCCGTGTCCCCGCAGAGCTCCACGCTGTCCCTCTGGGTCGTCTCCCTCCTGCTTGACTTGATGGAGGTCGTCTTTGGCATCCGCTGCCTCCTGCTCACCATCAACCTCCTCCGCTTTGGCCGCTGCTGCCGCAGGGTGCACCGGAGGAAGGTGACTCCCAGTCCCCCCCCCCCAGCTCAGCACCGACCTGTTCCTGTGCAGGATTGGGACGGACGTGGCTGGGCTTGGGGGGTCCGGGGACGGGGGCAAGATTTGCCAACCCAAAGCTCTCAACCCCCAGCCTCATTCTCATCATCCTCTCTGGCTTGCAGGTCTCCTTGCAGGCAGCCCCTGCGGAGAGCCCTGGCTCCGGGCAGTGCCTGGGTTTGCTGAGGCTGGACAGTGTGGAAACTGCCTGGCTCTGAGCAGGGCCTGAGGGCTGACCCCACGGATGTGCCCTGGCCAGTCCCAGCACCCACACAACCCCACAACGGGACCTGGCTGCCCCCCAGCCTGGCTATCAGGTGGACACATCCCCCAGATGCCACCAGCCAAGACACACAAGCCCATCCCCATGGCCTTCAGGTCACCCGGGGCTGCAACGAGAGAGGCGACTGGGCTGGATCCAGAACTTGCGGGGAGGAACTTCCCCCCTCGGCATCACTGGCCCCTTTCCCACCACTGACTGCACTGACACAAACTTTATTCTGCAGGTATTAAAAGACCAGAAGCCCGTCCCCTCCCCGCGGCCCCCACCCATGCGCCAGCCGTGGGGAAGGGGCTGGCCTGGCCCCACGGCCGTGGCAGTGTGTGCATGCGTGGGGGGTGCTGGGAGGCCCCCGAGCCACCGGGTCTTTGTCCCCTGGGCCATGTCCCCGCACCCACCAGAGACGCAGCAGTGGCTTTGCCTGGCTGGGTTGTCCCCCTGCTCCGAGCCCCCCGGTGCTGAGGGGGACCGTCCTCGCTCGGGGCAGACCCTGCCTCCATCCTTCCCCCAGTCAAACCAGTGCGGGAGCCCCCCGGCAATGGGACTGTCCCCCCTGGGCTCCCCCTTGCCCCTGCCTCCACCGGGCTCCAGCTCTCTCCCCATGGGGGGCTGTGGGGGGCACGGCGGTGGGGACCGCGGGGGACAGGCAAGGGACAGCAGCAGCGGCCGTCTGCAGGGTCAGGGGGTGGCGTGGGGCCGTGGGGGGCTGTGGGGGGTCCGCGGGGCTCAGAGCTGCACGGTGCCGCTGGGGTCACACTGCAGCAGGCGCACGATGGACGGGTCGCTCTTGGCACCTTTGATGAACTCCTCCAGCGAGAGCTTGCCTGTGGGGGGGGGGGGACGGGGGGACAGGGGACGGGACACACACGCCTCAGCTCGGCGGCCACCACCCCATCCCAGCTGCGCACACGGGACCGGAGCCCTCCCGGCACACACAGTGGGCACCCACCCCCCCCACCCCGGGATGAGCACCCCTGGGGTCTGCTCCCCGGGCTGCGGGAGCATGCCGAGCCCCTCCGGCTGCCGGGGCTCCCCCTGGCCACCCCGGCGGACACGAGCCATTTAATCAGCATACATGCGGCTCCTTCTAAGACCCCCCGGATTTATCCATGAGACCTTTCCCTTAATCCCCTCCATCTCCTCTCATTTACCATCGTTATTAGTATCCATCTGCCGGAAGATTTTTTCCGTTCTTTTCTCCGGAGTCGACTCATCTTCAGGCATGTTCATCACGGAGGAGACCATTTTGTAGATAGCCTGGGAGAGGGAGATGGGGATGAGGGGTGGGTGCAAGGTAGGCACTTGCCATCACCCACCCGAAATGGGGGACAGCGCTCTGGGCTTCTCTGCTTGGGAATGGAGCTGGCATTTAACACCCTCCCCATGCGATCGGGCTCCGGGGAGCTTTAGCTCCCAGCGCAGTCGGGGTGGATGCAAGCGGCAGCCCTAAGCGAACAACCCGGCTGCACGAGGTGGATGGGAGCTGCTCCTGCAGGGAGGAGATGCCCACCGAGATGTCACCGCAACGGCCTCGCGAGTCACCTGCCGATGCCACCGGGCTGGGGTCCGGGCAAGGAGAACATCTGTTGGTCTGCCGACCGCGTGTCCCTCTGCCCCGGGGTGCTCGGGGACGGCTGCGTGCACCCAACCCTCCCCAGGAGCACAGCGAGCAGGGCCAGCAGGGTGAGGTGACAAAGGGATGTCCCCAGGACAGGGAAGGACCAAGGGATGCCCCAGGGTAGACGGATCCCTGCAGCGGCTCTGCAGACAGCAACAGGCTTCGACCCAGGCACTGCCAAGCCGGGGGGAACGCAGGGTGCATGTCCCCAGCCCGCCTGCATCCCGGGAGGGGACGGCCACTGTCACACCAAGGTGACACGCAGGACCACACACAGTGGGGCGGGGGAGCCCGGTACCTGCACGATCTCCAGCATCTCCTCCCGGCTGATGTAGCCGTTGCCGTCCAGGTCGTACATGCTGAAGGCCCACATGAGCTTCTGCTCCAGCTTCCCGCGGGAGGTGACGCTCAGGGCGATGATGAACTCTCGGAAGTCGATGGTGCCGTCGCCGTTGGTGTCGAAGGTGCGGAAGACGTGCTCGGCGAACTTGGAGGCATCGCCGTAGGGGAAGAAGTTGGCGTAGATCTTCTTGAACTCCTCCACGTTGAGGATGCCGGAGGGACAGTCCTTCAGGAAGCCCTTGTACCAGCCCTGCAGCTCCATGTCGGAGAACTCGGTGTTTTCCCGCAGGTCCTGGAGCATCTCGGGGCGCAGTTTGCTGTTCTGCTTCCCCATGCTGCTGGGACGCACCGGGCTGTCCCGGGAGCCGGGGGGGACGAGCTGCAGCGGGGCAGGCGCCTGGCCCGGCTCGGGGTGAGGGGGGTCCCTCTGTGCTACAGGAGGGGAGCGGGATGGGGCAGCGCTCCCTGGCAGCCCCCGGACACCCGGGCGGACGCCGATGCGGCCCCCTCCATCCCCGCTGTCCTCTCTGAGCCGTCGGGGCCAGCCCCTGGGGACCACCCAGCTCCGGACAGAGCCAGCCCCCTCTCGTTTGCGTAATAAGCCCTTATAGCTCATTTACATAATATATAGGCGATACATAGCTGGCAGCAGGAGGGCAGAGCAGCCTGGAGGAGGGGAAGGGGCCGGATTCAGCCCCGGCAGGGTGCTGGTTAGGGGTCTGGGGCCAGCCCAGCTTTGGGGCTGACTGGATCTGGGTCAGCTCCCTTAGAGGGAGGGTTATTTTCAGCTCCGCCGCTGCCTCCGTTAATATTTGATGGCTGTGGCTGGCACTGGAGCCCCGGGGAGGGCTGGGGGCCACAAGGATCTCTTTGGGGCCCCTCCCCGCTTCAGGGTGCCCACACCCCTGAGGGACCCAGCGTACCCCATCCCACTGGGGTCATCCTGAGGAGCGCAGAGGGGCTGGGAGGAGGTCAGGGTGGGTGCCCAGCATCTGGCCACACACACCAGGTCCCCGCAGCGGGGGCCCTGGGGGGTACCTTGACCCACTGCCCCCACCCCAGGCTGTGTTGTGACCCCTCTGTGGGGAGAAGATGGGCTCGGGGGGTTTCTGGGGTGCATAGAGGGCTTCAGTGCCTGGAGCACCTGCTGTCTTATCCAACGTGGGGAGGGGACCCAGCATCCCCCAACCCCCCCTGCTCTTTGGGATTGCAGGGCTCCCCAAGCGGAGCAGCCCAGTAGGGCTGGACCCCCCAGTCAATGGGGGCTGGGACCCCACAGTGTCTCTCCATCACCCCCTATCCCAGCTCTATCCCTACTCCAGCAGTCCGAGGAAGGATCTGTGTGTCCCCAACCCCACCCCAGGGTCCCAGCTGGGCCCCCCCCAGGGCTGGCACAATCCCCAGCCCCACTACTGGGGGGGGGGGGGGGGTGTGCCCCCTCCCCACTGCCTGGGGCAGCTCCCATCGCTGGGAGGGGAGCCCATGGGGGGCTCAGCACCCCGAGAGGGATTTACAAGGACACCACCACCCCCCCCCAAAACAGGCACCTCCAGAAGGGTGGTTGGGCACCTCCAGGGAAGATGCTCCCAGGGAAGGTGCTCCCCGGGTCGGGGGGCTACAGAGGATTCCCCCCAAACTGGGCAACCCCTGAGAGAGAGGTATTGCCAGGGACACACACAAGGAAAGGACTCCCCAGTGGGGTTGGATTATCAGGCACCCCCAGAAAGATGCTGCGGGGTGGGAGGGGGGCACAGAGCACCCCCGGCAAGATGCGGCTGGGAGGAGGGGAGGGGGGGGGCGCAGATCTGCAGCCACCGGTGTGGAGGGACGTGCCCGGGGGCTGGGTCCATGCCGGTGCCTTGGTCTCCCCAGTCCCCCAGTGCCCCCCCTCGTCCCGTTCCCCCCCTCCCCGTCCCCGCCGGCTCCTACCTGCCCGGGGCTGAGCTGCCGCCGCCGTTCGCCAACGCCGCCCGGGAGCGCCCGCCGGTTGTGCCCGCCGCAGCGCCGGGCTGCGGGGGGGGGGGGGGGGGGGGGAGGGCACCGGCACCGGGGGGCACCGGAGACACCGGCACCAACCCCCACCGGGGTCCCTCACCCTCCCCGGAGTCCCACGCAACGCCCCACCCCTCCCTTTCCCCACTCCCCCCCGGGGACTGCCCCACGCAGCTCCCTGCCGTGGGGCTCGGGGTGCAGCCTCTGCTCCCCCCGCAGCCGGGGGCTGGCGTGGGGGGTCCCTATTGTATTGGCAAGGGCTGGAGCGGTTCTGGGAGCACTGGGAACACACCAGCTCTCAGCCTGCCTGCAGATCTGGGGGGACACGAGACGTCCCTGGTTGGGTCTCTAAGGGCTCTGTTACAGATGTCACTTGTCCCCTCTGTGGGGTGTCATCCTGCCCCGGGCTGCCACGAGCTGGGTGGGATGGAGAAACACGAGGGTGTGTGAACACACACACCCACACCCACACCCACACACACCCCCCCACCACCCAGTGCATGCACCAAACTGGGGACCACTCGCTCCATGTGCCAGCCCTGCCATCACACCCGCCTGTCCCCATCCCGTCCCTCGGAAAGAGCTGCTGCCCCAGGGCCAGGGTGGTCCCCACAGGGACAGAGCAAGCCAGGGGCTGCAGGGACCCCCCCCATGCCTGCCTTGGGCATCCCCAGCTCCTGGCCTTAGCCATCACCTTCCCGCCGGCCCAAGAAAGTGCCAAGCCAGGCATTTTGGGGCTAGAAGGGGATATTTTGGGTTGAGTGTCCCCAGCACGCAGCCAGGGGCTGATGCAGTGTAGTGTTACAGCATCCTCGGTCGTTCCAGGGGCTGGAGCAAAGCAGCTTTTGGTGGCTGCTCCGAGCACTGGGAAAAGGCTCTGGTGGAGACAGATGCTTGCTATAAGGAGGTGCCATTCCCGGCAGGTTTTCCTGGGTTCCTGCACCATCTCCATCCATTTGCAAAGCCCAGGATTGTTCAGCAATGCCGCGGGGAGCAGATGGCAGGGGCAGATGGGAGGAAGAGGCACTCTCCTCTGAATTACACAAATAAACATGCATAAAGTGATTAAACCCACAGCCCTGTTGCTGGTCTGGGGGAAACGGGGAAGGGACTGGAGTGGCTGCTGTGGAACAGGGAGCGGGGCGGGGAGGACTGCTTGAGAGACCCTGGATGAAGCTAATTCACCCCAAAATCTGCTGGGCACAGGGATCAGTGAGGATGAGGGGCTGCAGGTGCCTGTTGAGGGAGATGGGGCACCTCCAGGTCTAAAACACCCACCTGCAGCAGGGCAGGAGACAGTGGCCAAAATCCACAGGCACATTTTGACAGTGCTTGTTCAAACTGCTGCTAAGCCAGTGAGGGGACCCAGCCAAGCCCACGGTGCTGGCCCGTGAGGACCACGGGGACCTCGCTGTACCCCAGGAACAAGCAGGTTTTAATAACAAAGGCAATATTGTTTTCTCATTGTGTTTTTTTTTTTTCTATTTTTTTAATAGCTTCGTAGTGGTACCATGTCCCTGCCTATTGCTGGAGGACTCTGGAGGACCGGAGACCCACACAGGCTCCTTCCTGCCCTTCACCTGCACCTTTTGGTGCTGAGCCTCCTCCTCCTCCATCTCCCCATCAAGTCCTCCTCACCCTCTGCATTGCAGCAGCCTGTCCACACCCCAAGGGGCTGGAGGCTCTGTGGGGCCAGGAACCCTCTGTAGGGTCCGGGCAGGGGTCTCATGCAGGACCAGCGTCAAGCCCAAAGGGATATTTTGGGAATGGGACTGGTCTGGAAACAAGGGAACTGGTGATGAGAGCTGCTGTGGCGGTGTGTGTCCCCATCCCATTCAGGAGAGATGTTTGGTGGGGCGTACAGGGTGGGGACTGGAACTGGGGCCTTGGGGGGAGCAGAAAGGTGAGGAAAAGGGAGATATTTGTGCCTTTGGGGCTGAAGGCATCCCGGGGGGCCGGAGCCAGGCAGCCCCTGCGCTGGGCAATGCCCCCACACACAGTGGTACTGAGGCTGGGGGGAAGAGTCGGGCCCCGAAGGTGGGGGGTGCCATTTCCCCTCCGATAATCTTCATATCTTTTTTAATCCCCCTCTGCATGAGTGACAGAGGGCACAACTGACGCAGGCTGATTTGAAAGCATCCCATTTCTGACTCAAACCCGGCCCTAAACCCACCTAATCCCCCACACTGGAATGGATTGCAGGAGGGAGAGAGAGGATAATGCGCGGGCAGGGCCCTACTCTGCTGTCAAACACTAAGTGATTTACAGGGTCCATGGGATTGGGGGTAAATGACCCCCCAGCCCATCCCCTCTGGATCCCACAACCACCCCAAAGCCTTGTGGTTTTTCAGCACGCAGCCCCCTCCGTCACCCCTTCCTCCTTGTAGGGGGCCAGGCGTGCCGGCTCGTGCTCTCACCCACTGGTTTGGGGGATCAGCCGTGTCACGGGAAGCAGGACCATCTCCTGGGGGTGCCAGGGCCCCAGAACAGCCAGGGCAGGATGCAGGGCTGGCTCAGACTGGCTCCCACTGGCCCCAGCCTTGCGGCCAAGCCCACAGCAGAGCTGCTGCCAGGAGGATGCTGAAATGGCTGTGGGAGAGCCGTGGGGTGTTGGTGAAGTCCTGGCTGGGAGATTCCCCCTCCTCTTCCTCCTCCTCTTTCTTCTTCTCCTCCTCTTTCTTCTTCTCCTCCTCCTTCTTCTCCTCCTCCTCCTCACAGGGATTTCTGCGGGAATTTCCTGCGTTGTCATAGCAGCCGAGGCTTCGCTGCAGCAGGGCAGGGTGGGATGGGGCTGGAGGGGAGACACCCCCCCTCAGCGGAGGGGACACACATCACCGTGTCCCCGTGCCCCAGGGGTGCACGGCTCCACACACACATGTGTGCACATGGGGCAGTGTGTGTCAGTGTCCACTTTGGCGTGGCCCCGGCTGCCGTCCCCAAGCTGGCAGGGCTCAGCGGTGCCCAGTGTGCCAGGGCTGGGCACACCATGGCAGGACATTCGGGGATTTTGGTGATTTGGGCTCCAGCATCAGCTGCCCCGGCCTCCCATGCCCGTGCGAGCACCCTGACGTGCACCCACCCACCCGGGGGTGGCACAGGAGGAGCCCAGGCATCGCCAGGGTGGCTGTGGGTGCCCCAAAACCGTTCCTTAAGGATAGTTAGTGCCACGCAGACAAACAAACACCATCCCCGCAGCCTGTTGGGGTGCTGGGACAAGCTGGGAGGTGAGAGGGCAAAGCAACAGGGGCTCAGCCCCTGCCCGTACCAGCAAACCCAACCAGGGTCTCCCTGATACCCTGCAGACCCCTCCCCGTGGGCCCACAGTGACCCTGGAGCTTGTCCCCGTCCCCCCGCCATGCACGGCCCCATGGAGGACACGGGGAAGGTAAGCAGAGCCACAGCGGGGGCGCGGGGCAGGGGCTGCAGGCATAGCCAAGGATTAAAAGCAAATGCCCAGATAATGAGGATCTTTGGTAAAAAGCCCATTTGTACAATTTAAATCTCTAATAGGCTTCCTGGAATACAAAGCCCTTTGTGATGCCCGATCTCATCTGGATCAGGAGCCGCTCGCTCGCTAAATCTTGACTTAGCACGGCGGGGATGCGGCCGCGTTTCGTAACGACGTGGTCCCATCCCGCGGCCCCGTGCTGCCCACGCTGCCGCCCCGAGGCACGTGCAGCTCACCTTGCCCCGGCGGCCAAGGTCGGTGCTCCCGGGGACACGTGT